GTATACAGATGCCTATAGCGTATTCTCTTATAGCTAGGGCTAGTGTGTAACCATTTTTTTCTGGTTTTTCACTCCTCCAAAACATTTGGTGACCTATAAAATGTGCTTTAGTCTTTTTTTCAGGTACCAACCGATACTTAAGTTAACATGAGGTTAATACTTGTCACTTCCCAAGACTAAAGGCTCAGTTGCTCAGGACAGAACTTTTGAAGTACAGCTGGGTGCATTCGTAACCCTGGACCCCTGGTTAGTAACATGGTTATCTCAATTATCATGAGAAATAAGCAGATTCTTAAACCATGTATGAATAAAAGCCCCTCTCTTTCCCTGCCCTCAGAAAAACTTACGCTTTTTTCCTTTTAGTCCACACGTAGAATTAACTTCTCCCTTTCAGGTCCTCCAGTCCCTAACTGAAATCCAACAACCACAGCAGGCCATGCACTGACTTACCATCTTGGAGAGCTGCTCCACCTCCGCCAGGGCGCTCAGGACATCTCGGTCAAAGTCCATGGCCTTCTGCCAGGCACTGTGCGCAGCAGTGACCAGCCCTCCGCAGCCTGGCCCCCCACACTTCTTGTGTCCGTCGTCGGTTCTGCAGTTCGGGCCACCACAGTCCGTCTCGGAACAGGAGGCCCCTGGAGGCGTCCCACACGTCTGCAAGGGCCAGGGGCGGGGAGTGAGTCTGCAGCAGCCTCACAGCCGGGCAGGCGCTCCTCAGCCAGGGTGCTTGAGAACAGCGTTCAGGGCAGCGAGGAGCAGAGAGCTTAGGAATAAGCTAACCTGCCGCTTCCAACCCTCCATCGGTGCCTTCTGCCCTAACGACCTGGAACACCATATGGAGTCTGCGCGGGGTGCGCGCATCCTGCGCTCTGTCGGGCTGAAGTCCGCTGGCATGGAAGCCACAGGATGCTTCCCCTCTCCCCTAACCAACTGGGTTCACCAAGAGGAAAAAAAAAGGTTTTGAGAACCTTCTTTTGACCCAGCACCATGTTAACTGTTCTGCTGAAAAGGGTGGCATTAAAAGCCCGTTATCAGCCTTTGAGTAACTTCCCGTCTAGTTAGGCGGACAGGATCACTACGCGCAACAGGCAAGAACAGGTCAGAAGCAGCAAGTTACGGGAAAACACACAAAGGCGTGACCACTGAAGGCTGTAGTTCGGGAAGGAGGGTTGGCTGTTGGGATCTGAGCAGGGGAAGTGGGGGGATAGTCCAGATGGGAAACGAGGAGAGAAAATAAAGGTGGTCCTACTTTTTCCAAATAGACAACCCACCCAAATCCCCCATGGAGGACTTCTTTCTTACCTACCAGAAACTTCCAAAGATCAGGGCTTGGATGTAGCATATAAAGGGCAAATTGAAAAAAGTTTGCTATATGATGGAAAAGCCTGAGCAGGAGGAAAAACTATTTGGGGCTATCCTTTTGTGAACAATGCGCAGGCTGAGAAGAGGCAAAAGATACCCTGCAGTGAATAAAAGTTAAAGAGTTCACAGGACACTCCCAAACAAGGAAAGTATTTTTTTGTAATCAGGACAGTTTTAACCTAATAATTTTGTGATAATTATGATCCCATTATATCTTTAAGTAGTAAATAAAATAGTTTCACATACCTGGTTTAGAGCACATAAAAAGCTTCAGGAAGTAAGTTTATAATGCATGCTGCAGAATCACATGAGCCTTAAGCCCAGAAGCGTTATCTCTAGGGATGCTTTCTTAAGACACAGTAGAATATCTGCTTTATGTCAGCAGACTGGCAGGCTTGGGGGGGGGGGGAGCACCATGGGTCTAACTAAATATATACAAAGGCAAAGCAGTGAAGGTATGTGAAAAACACAAAGGGGCAGAAGTCTTTCTCCATGAGTGGCGGCAGCGTGGAAGCTGCTAACAAGCGTCCTAAGGTAATGAATATTTAAGAGAAAGCCAGAGAGGGAGGGAGAAGACGGGAGAGGGACTGTCACTAAGAACTGTAATCCATCTGAACTCTTCCCAGCCTCCTGTGCACCCACCTTCCCCCTTCTTGTCCTGTCCCTCTGTTTCTAAGCTAAGGGAGCACAAATAAGCCTTATAAAGGGACATGAAAAACAGCCTCCAACTTCTCTCCGATAGGTACCCGGCCATGAAAAACAATAAGGAAGCAAGAGGAAGAAGCAGGCTGAGTCTGGGTCCCCCCCTTTTTTCTGGCTTTCTGCCTGATTTTCATTAAACTCAATACTCAATTTCATTTGGCTCCAGAGATACTTTTTAAAAGCTTCTGGGAAATGAATCTACGTTCTAGGCTGGACCTGAGCCTAGAAAGCAGCTGGACCTGGTTAATCTTCACCAGGTAAAGTCACTGGGACAAAGGCACATTTTAACTAACACCCACCCATGAGAAAAATTCCTTAGCCTCTGAGTTTTTTAGGAAGTCTCTCCCAGAATGATTCTGAATTGCTCCACTCGGAGTTTGCATTTCCAATCAGAACAAAGTATAAAAGACACGTGCACAGTCTAAAAAGGATGAGGTTTAAGTAAGGAGTCACCGAGTGAATTCAGCAGTGTGGGAGAGGAGTCCGGATTCTTTGGCGGAACCACAGAGCAACTGCTGGAAGAGAGGGAGGGCTGGAAACCCACATGCTGTTGTTTAGAATCTGGCGTTGTCATGGCTACCCCATACTGTGGTCCAGAGACCACAGCAAAGAGTTTCACTCCTGCTGACTCATCTGCAGAGCGGACAGTATGAAAGACAAAGCGGGGTATTTCTCCCCGCTGCAGCATGCCAGCCTTGAGGCCAAACCCTCGAACCTTACCATTTCGGCAGCAGCTGAAAGGTCTAGACTTTGAAGTTTGCCTGCCAGTTCATCCAGGAGGCGGGACTGTTCCTCCTGTCTTTCCCTGAACTGGGACTCTCGCTCCATCATCAGGTCTTCGACTCTGTCTCGAGTGAGGGCAGACTGCTCCACAGTGCTGCTGGGATCTGTGGTGGAGGCATTCACCCTCTCCTCCGCCTCTAGAGACATCTGGAAATACTTGGTAATGCTATCCAAGGCGCCTGGGGCATGAAATGAAATTGCCCACAGTTAATCCCCATGGACCCAAATCTCCCCATCAAGCGATGGCTGTATGTTCCAGCCCTAAAGTGACTGCATAGTTCTGTTTTAAAATTCAAGGAATAAGATTTTTATGAAGAAATGTAACTTTCCTCTCACGATCCACGAATATACTGAGTCCCCTTAGCACCTAATCTTGGCTGTGGAAGATGCCAAACATCTGGATTAAAACATTAAGTCAATCATGCAGATGTTTTGTCTACACACAGGCAAGCATCCAGTTCTAAGTAGCTGGTGTCAGGCAGGCTGTCAACATGTCCAGATGAGTTCTTCTTTTTTCTCATTTAACTGTTTAGATCCACTCAAATGGCTGATACATATACATAAAACAGCACACCATGTTTTGGCTTTAAGAATCTAGCCAAAAAAAATTAAGCGATCCTGCATAAAACAGGATGGACAGGGTGATCTGACAGTTTTTACTTTCTTTTGCTTTTGGGGGGAGGGTCCTCTACTAGGGCCTATGATATCAATACATGAAGGATTTGCAAATGTGATTTCCTGACCAAGTAACATTCTTGAATATAAAAGTATTTGCAGACCAATCAACTTTTTTCTTAACAGTTAAGTTCTTAACTATTCACAAGGGCCCCTTTCCAAGAGAAGCCAAGGAGGTTAACCACTAGCTGGAAACAAATCAGGAAACAGAGTCCATTCGAATGCAACAAGCACTGCTCGCTCCAGGCGACCCCTCCTGTGTCAGTCTGTGCCCCACGTCTCACATGCGGACTTTAATCCTCATTTGTGCCCCAGACTCAATGAGAAAGAGCTTTAAAATGATTACAAAGCACTTAATTTTTTTCCGAAAGTGCTCTATTATAAAAGGTTAGACAGATGGTTAAATCCATCGTTCTGGATTATGAATTCGCAACAGCACGTACTCACCCCGAATGTCCGAGTTTTTGATGAATTCCAGTTGCTCAGCAAGCTCTCTCACCGTGTTGTCTAGGCTCTCTGCTTCTGCCTGTAGAGAGTCTAGCTCTCTGGCTGTGCTGTTGCTTTGCGAAGCTGTGTCAGACAATTTCACTTCTACTTGAGCCATCTTTTCGGTAACATCTTTGGTTAGCTTCCTGGAAAGAGAAGGGTCAATTTACTTGCACAAAATCGAAGGGAAAACATGAAGTCTCATTTTCACATTTTCTGCTAATACTGTACCCACCACTCTGTAATTTCAAACCAATTCAGTGGTTTGTAACAGTTCATCTGTAAGTACTGCTTTTAGTCTCCTTATCATTAAGAGACTATATTAAATCTAATAATTTTTCTTTCTTCAAAGACTTTGAAGAAAGACCCAGGAACGCCAGCCACTCAGCTGTGATGTGGCAGGTGGGTGAGCTGAGGGATTCCGAATACCTCGTGCAACACGAGCACAGACTCAGAGCATGGAATCCAGCTCTGTGCATAAGCAGCTTCAGCCCGCACAATCCCATACACTCAGAAGACCTAAGTGACTCCAGGGTAGAATTAAGCCTCCCAGCCACCAGCCAAAAATGCTCTTATCTGAACCTCAGGGATCTCCTTCAAGATGGGACACGCATAAAGCAAGCCCCACAGCCACCCCCCAAAGGGGCTTTGCGTACACACCCCCACTCCTTCAAGGATTTGTAGTTTAGGTGACATTTTATAAACCCAATGGCTTTTCTTCCTGAAGCTAGTTTCTGTTATCAGTGCTTTGCTTTGATTCATCTGTTGATTCACAGAAGGCTTTCATTTTTCCTCAGGTCTCATAAAATGTTGTAACTTAAAAAAAAATCACATCTAATACTGTATATTTTTAAATAATGCCACTTTGGATCCTAAAACACACATCCTTGGATCTTGTGTTGAAAAAAGATTAATGAAACTAGTTTTCCTGAGATGATTACAATACAACCTGATGAGATGAGCAGTGCAGGTAGCAGCAGGGCTGTTTCAGGAGTGTCACCTCTCTTCCGGCAGACTCTGGAAGGGTACCAGACTATTTTGTTCTACCTTAGGTGCATGACAGCAAGGCCAAGAAATCAGTTCCTAAATGGGCTTGCCCTCAGACCACAGCCTCCAAAAGCTTGTTATCGCTACATACAGGGAGGCTGAGCTGTACCAGACTTTTTAGTGAGGTGACACTCCTCATTGTGCCATCGCCCTGCATCAGACATCTCCTAACACCCCGGCCAACCACGTGACCTTGGGCACAAGATCTGAGGCTTGAAATCAGGGGACCAGGGACTTTCAGTCTAGAAGGTCTAGGAAGAACCCGCCACCAGGTACTTGAGCTAGTGTGTCAGCTCTTAGCTTCCTGCTTCTCACACATAGCGCTGAGATGCAAAGTTCACCTGGCTTCTTAGAGATGCTGATTCAAGCCCCATCACACAAACGCGTCCCTGCAGTTCCATCATGCTGTAACAGCAGCTCGGCGTGCATAATTTAGCTAAGTGCCCCCACTTGTGCCAAATGTCAGGTCTACAATAAAAAACCCACACTGGGAGTTCGAAATTTGTAGATACTGACAGGCATATGTAGAATAGATAAACAAGATTATACTGTATAGCACAGGGAAATATATACATGATCTTGTGGTAGCTCACAGCAAAAAAAGTGACAATGAATATGTATGTTCATGTGTAACTGAAAAATTGTGCTCTACACTGGAATTTGACACAACATTGTAAAATGACTATAACTCAATAAAAAAAAGTTAAAAAACATAGTATTTGGGGAAACAAATGGCTTCACACCCTTTCCTGTTTTGTCCTTTAGCCTAGGTTTTATGCTGGTTTGAGGGGCCAGGGGTTCTCTTTGGCAAAGGGAGCGGCAGTGTTTGAGAGCCGGAGAGCTAAGGCTCTCACGGGGAGTTTGCATCCCTCAACTTGGTTCTCTTGTTTCTTCTGGCAAAATAAATTCCTTGCAGCCAGAGAGACGATGATCACCCAGAGAACGGCTAAGAGGAGGAATTTTCATTGTAGAGAATTTCTTACAGTTAGAGAATGAAGCTCTGCTTTATGGACCAACAGCTGGGCGATGGGAATCACTATGATAACAGTGTAAATTTACAGTGGTTTTTTTTTTTTTTGTAATTAGATGATCATTTGAGAATGAATCCTTTTGTTCCTCTAAAGGAAAGGCAAATATTATCCTCCCCTCCTCCGCAGGAAAGAGGGAGGTTCAGACACGGGTGAGTCACTCAAGTTCACCACCCCAGCAAGTACCAGAGCAGCGACTCCATGAGGGGTCCTCCGTCCCTGAACCCGGCATCCTCACCGTCGTACTGCCAGAGAGCGTGGTCTGCAGACAAGGGTGCTGACAAAGAATGTGACAGGCACCCATCCTGCACTGCAGTCCCCACAACTGTGGACCCAGCAACAGGCCAGCGTTCACTTACTCACACGCCCAGGGTCGCAGCTGCGGAAGATGCACGCCCGGCACTAAGCACTAGCCCCGCCTCCCGATGGAAGCACCGCGCTGTTGACTCATGAAGTTCAAACCACACCGCGAGCTGTTCCCTCGGGCTCAGCTACTTACTCTGCTTCCTCGAAAAGATTCCCAATGTTTTTCAGCGGCTCTGCGGCCGGGCTCTGGGCCAGGATGTCTCTGATCTCATGGACCTTCTTCTCTACCGAGTCCACGGTCTCCCGGTAAGGCCCGATCACGCCGCTGATCTTCAGAGCCTTGGCTTTCTCCAGGAACTTCTGGGTCCTGTTGGTCAACTCAGCGATGATCACGTCCCAGAGAGCAAAGCACTGGTGGCAGGGTGTGCAGTCGGGAAAGACCCCCGAGTACCCTCGAGTGCACCTGTCGCAGCGTGGACCCTCCACACCCTCGACGCAGACACACTGGCCAGTGGACTGGTCACACTGTGGCGTCTCAATGCCCCTGGGGTCGCAGTCACAGGCTAGAAGGGGAAGAGCAATGCCGGCTGATCCACTCGATCACAGACCACAGAATGCCCAGCCGCCATTACAATGGCAAACTCTGTAAAAGGTCCACGACAACTTGCCAACAGCCCTCAGAGGCTCCTTCCAGAACACGCATAACCTCAACCCCAGCTAACTTTTTTTTTTTTTGTCAAAGGAGTGGAGCTGGTTTTATGCAACAGTCTCATTATAAAAATAACCAGAATGAGGAAGGACCCTGCCTGACGTCCCCACAGCCCTGCAGGGGCAGTCAGCGAACGCAGGGAGCCTCAGGGCGAGGCAGCGGGCAGAGCTCTGTACAGGAGGCCTGGCCTTGGCTAGTTCTGTCCACTCTGACCACTGTCCCCCGCCCCCTGCCGCTGTGGCAGACAGCTCAGGTCAGGTCTCCCAACACCGAGCATCCTTCCTGCCCTACTGTTAGGTCCTCAACAGGACAAACTGTCCTGGAAACTTCCTTCCAACCAGCCATCCACGAAAGTAGAGGTGAACAGGTGACAACTCGAGGAAGGATGGGCCAACCCCAGAATGGCTGGGGGGACATTCCTAGATGGGCTGTCCCTGGGCCAACGAGGTTCCCAAAGAGGCCACAGTGGCTCCCCCAGGGGAACCAAGGCTGAAGGCAGCTGAGGCTGTGGTGGGCCCAGAGGAGGCCACTGGATTTCGTTCTGAAGATCCTAGGGGCCCGGTGCTCCCTGGGACTGTGGCCATCAGCTCATTTCTTAATTAGAATCATTTTTTCCCCCTGAATATTTAGTGTACAAATAATTTATATGCATCCACTCATCTGATTCTCACAATAACCCTACGGGATCCAGGTGTCGTCATAATCAATTTCATAGCCGTGGAAACAGGTTGAGAGAGATCATACGACTGCCCCCAAGTCTGCCGGCAAGGAAATGGCGGAGCCAGGATTCTAATTCAGCACTTTGCATCTCCAGTCTGTGCTCTTAAGCTCCGTCCTGCCTCTAGCCTCCCTCTTATCTGACTTGCCTGTGCAACTGTCAGGACAGACAATGCAGGTGACCCCTTTCGATGACATGAGGCCCCTGGCCAGAGATACAGCAGTAACGAGCAGCTCCCTACACACCTCCCCCTCCTGGTCACAGAGCAGAACAGCGGACACTTGGTGCAATGCAATCAACTTGACACAAAGAAAACAAAATCAGAAAAGTCGTCTCAGGAATTCTAAGTATGTGGTTGAAGGGCTTCCAACTAAGTATAATCTAGCTCGTGGGCACCTGCCGCTGTGATACCCACTCCCAGCACTGAGAGCAGAGGCTCGGAAAACGTCAGACGTGATAGAAGGGGCCTTCGGAGCCCGTCGGTCCCCACCACTCACTGGCCCGAGAGGGCTGGCATCTTAGGCAGAAGCAAAGGAACACAGGGTGAAACTGGCACTGCTGGCCGATGGACTGGGGCTGAGATGCTGCGGCACTGAACCCCAGCTTAGAGTCCCGAAGCTCAGGTGACTCAGCCAGTTTCATGTCAACACGTGACATTTCACAGTGCTTGCAGCGTATTCGAGTAACAAAGGGCTGGTACACACACCTTACCTCTGGCCTGAAATCCTTTTGGGAGAAGGTGCGGATAAAAATAAAAACAAGTATCTTATTTCCCTGACTAGACTGAGGCCCCCAGGGGCACAGGTACACAAACCTTAAACCATTTTTCCACTCTCAGCTCTGAGCACAGGGTTAACTTGCAAACTGGAGTCCAACGGGCTTTGCCAAATGAGGCTCTAACCTCACTTTTGGGAGAGGCACCCGGGAGACAGACACAATCCCCATAAAAGAAAATAATCCTAAAACATGACATCAGCTGTGGCAAAGCACAGCAGAGCAGGACTCTCTTGGGCAGCTTTACGACACCTCCTCGAGTCCGCAGCTGCAGCTGGCCTGTGAAAGACGGAAGAATGAAGTATCTTCCAGAACCAGTGTCACGGATGGTCCTGCGAAACACAGCATGTCTCAACTCCAGACCCAGGAGGACGCGCGTGTGTGGCCCGTCCCGTCCACACGACCCTCCCCGCATCCTGCCTGCATTGCTTGTCGAGCTTTCTCACTGCCTTTGTTTGCCACCTACGATGACGCTGCAAGTTCTCCGGCAGCCAGCTGGGGCAGCACAGTGTCGCGGGAAGAGCCCGGGCTGCCCGGCTGCGGGTCCCGCCTTCCCCGCAGAACTGGGTCACGGTGCCCACGTCTGCAGAAGGGGTGATGACACCTACCTCCCGGGCTTGCCTGCAGGTAGATACACCTTAATTCTCAAGTATTCAGAGGAGCGTGTGGCCCACAGTAAGCTCTCAATAAATGTTTTCATCATGCTCACTGTGTCCAGGCAAGGGTCTGGTGCTCCCTGCCCTGAGCACTGCTTGACCGCGTTTCCATGGGAAAAACGGAAACTGTCATGGCCTTGCGTTTCTCTTTACATATTTGTCAGTAACTTCTTGATGATTTAAAAAATTTGAAGCCTGGAATACTCTGGTCCTCAAACTTCAGGCTTTAAAACCTGTAGCATTTTCTTGGTTCCTTAGGTTTTCAAAACTAAACTTTTCTTTCTTTAAGCACTCAACTTTTTTTTTCCCTCAAGCATATTCGTTCTTCCCAGGCATGTTTTATTTTTCCTGTACTCCCCCGGGCATTCTCATGAATTAGGAAACAGCTTAGGTGAGCTGTGGATAGGTAACTTTGAGTGTTTTCCCTAGACCCTCGGCTCTAGGACGTGCTCCTGCAGGTAAGAGTACCATGATTTAGTGGGGTCGGGAAATTCTACATCTGGCACCAGGCAATACCAGAACACCTAAAATCATACCCTCCAACAAACCACCCCAACACAAAGATCTGCAGTGGGGGACGTACTTGGCAGTTAATTACATAATTTCAGAAGAGCGGTCACATTCTTTTCCCAGAGTCCACCTAATTTCAGGTGATACCCATCCTCGTCCCTGCTGCTCTCTGGACCCTGTCCCTTCAAGACCAGCATCCCAAAGGGTGGAAGAGCTTTGGCGCTGTCCAGAGACCAGGACCAGTTCAGCTGACAGCATTCCTTTCCTCCATCTGAAAAGCAGGGTCAGATGTCACAGACGGCGGGCTGGCAGTGGCATCCCTGAAAAAGTCGACCCTGCCCTTCCTCTGCAAGGGGGCTGGGTGACTGGCCTCTAAGATGCACCAGGTTTCCATTTCCAACTGAAGCTGACAAACTGCTCAAGTGCTGGTGGACCAGTGCTCCCTTCCCCGCCTGAGTTTCCAGAACAGCTTCCCCGATGGGGTCACCTGGAGGCCAGCTCTGGAAGACCTGCACTTACGACCCTGTAAGAAGACCCTGCCTAAGAGTATTTTCCTTTCTGCTGAAGCAGAAAGGTTGGTTCAACTGAAAACTTCACAGACACTAAAATTGTGAAGGAGACTCTCCAGTCATCTCTTTCACTGGGGTCTGAAAAATTATCACCTAACTGTGCAGACCGTCTCTGACAGGGTCCAGTGGGTCTGCTCCTCTCTGCAGAGAAAGGGACAGCAGTCCAGGTGGACCTGTGGCTCAGTGTGGCTTTAAGAAGTGAGATTATCTGGCAGAGGATCAAAAACTTTCTCTTGGAAAGAAGAAGAATACAAAAGCTGTTGCCTGATCTTTGAGATGAACCACTCATGAAGATGGAGAACAGGAATCTAAAAATGAGACAGTAATCATTTTGATGAGCCAGGAGAATTCTACCTTCCTCTGTAGGTATTGTCTTAGTTATGTGGTCAGTGGGCTCTCTCTATTTTTACTAAGTTTTCTCCTCATTTAAAACAAAGAGGTACATGCAGCCACTATGGAAAACAGTTTGGAGATTCCTTAAAAACTAAACCTAGAGTTACCATACAATCCAGCAATCCTACTCCTGGGAATACATCCTGGAAGAAACTAATTCAAAAAGACACACGCACCTCAGTGTTCACAGCAGCACTATTTACAACAGCCAAGACATGGAAACAGCCTAAATGTCCATCAGCAGATGACTGGATAAAGAAGATGGGGTATATTTATACAGTGGGCTACTACTCAGCCATGAAAAAACATGAAATAATGCCATTTGCAGCAACGTGGATGGAAATGGAGGTTATCATACTAAGTGAAGTTGGACAGAGAAAGACAAATATCATATGATATCACTTATATGTGGAATCTAAAAAAATGATACAAACTTATTTCCAAAATGGAAAAAGACTCACAGACACAGAAACCAAACTTATGGTTACCAAAGGGGAAGGGAAGAGGAGGGATAAATTAGGAGTTTGGGATTAGCAGATACAAACAACTATATATAAAACAGATAAACAACAAGAAACTACTGCATAGCAGAGAACTATATTCACTATCTTGTAATAATCTGTAATGAAAAAGAATATGGAAAAGAATATATAACTGAAACACTATGCTATACAGCAGACACAAGATTGTAAATCAAGTGTAGTTCAATAAAAAAAAAAGAGATGAGCTATTAGGTAGAAAATAAGCTACCAGGAGCTACTGTACAACACGGTGAATAAAGCCAATATTTTACAATAGCTATAAACCGAGTATAACTTTTACAAATTTTGAATCACTGTATTGTACCCTGTAACTTACAGAATATTATACAGCAACAATACTTCAATTTTAAAAATCCCGAACAATAAGAACATGATCTCTACAAGGGAGGTCAATGGAGGATGTTGCACCCATTTGACATATACTGAGACCTCGAGGAAAAGGCTAGTGAGTCAAAGCCAGAGTGGGAACCACCGGCCTGTGGACCTCTTTATCAGTACGTGCAACTTTCCTGCTTTCTCCATATCCTCTCCTCTCCCCCTGCGGACCTCCGCTGGCCACTGAAGAGAGTCCATACTCAATGGCTTTTCACCATCTGGTAAAAACATGACACCTGCTGAATGACTCCCGTTCCTCCCGGGCTCCCCTCTGCCAGCTGAAAGGTCCCCATGGCTTGTCTCCAGCGGAGCCCGTGAGGGCAGCTCCCCCAGCTGCATCCACCCCCGCCCCAGGCGCCAGTGGGCCGTCACTCAGGGCGCTGCTGGTCACCCGCTTTTCCTTTTGAAACCCGAACCTCCCTGGGGACCGAGAAAGTACTATATCTTAAAATCAGGTGACAGGGTCTCTTCGCTTTTGCCAGGGACCTTGCCTCCCAGCAACAGGGGACCCCTGGAGGTGCGGTAATGCCCAAAGGTCTACTCTAACTTCACCGAGGCCCTTCTGTTTCACTCTAAGCAAGGGAAATTGAAATACTTTTTAATCTCTTCAATGGGACTGTCTTTTTCTTTACATCCTCTACCTCCTCCAGCCCCACCTTTTTTTTTTTTTGGTCCTCAGGAATAGAACTTCAGTTTGGAAATGGAAGTTGGAGAATGAATGGAATTTCAGCTGCAGAAATGAGCTGGCTTTCTGGTCTAGGAGCTGGCAAACATTTTCTATAAGAGATAGTAAATATTTAGGCTTTGCGGGCCCTCTGGTCTGTCACTACTGGACTCTGACACTGCAGAACAAAGGCAGCCCCAGACCGTCCGTAAACAAACAGGCAAGGCGGGGCTCCAATAAAACTTTATTTGCCGACAGGGGCAGCAAGCTGGATTTGGCACGGGGCTGCAGACAAGCCTTCCCTCCACTAAGAAGAATATCTGTGATTCTCGAAAGAATCCCATGCCATATGATTTCCTGAGCTACGCTGGAAATAAAGAGTAAGGTGGGTAAATGGATCCCAGCCACAGAAAAGATAAGCATTAAAAAGAATGGATGTCTGAGCAAAGGAATGTACTTAAATTTTCTACTAAAAATGATCTGAAATGAGAAAAGTAGGATGAAAAACAAACAAAAAAACCCCAGCCCCCCGCCAGAGCCTCTCACCTCTGGCCCACATTTCCAATTGGTCCAGGTTTAGGAGACACTGGCATTTCCCAAAAGGCAGAGGCCCTCTGCTATCTCCACATCAACAAGATTCCTCCTGTGACCCTGACTCGTTGGAGCACAAGGCAGAGGTTTCCCCGGGCACGTTCAGGAGAGGGTGGGCGAGATGCTCTCCAGCCAGCACAGTAGGGGGCTTGTTCAGACTTGGCACCGTCGGCCCAGAGCCCCCACCCGCCTGGACAATAGGAACATTCAACAATTCATGAGCTGGAGGCCCAACTCATTTGTCTCTCACATAACTCTGGGTTTTTTCCATAAGAAGAATACTTGGCCATGACCTAAGTCTTTCTAAAAGCATATTGTTAGCGAGGCAGCCCCAGAGGGGCTACATTTGCGCTCTGTTCAGCTGAATGATTTGAAACTGAAGACTTCTGGGCAATTCATTACATAATTTGAGCCAAGTGGTCACATTTTTTTCCCCTATCACTCCATCTAAGGTCAGGTGACACTTATTCTTGTCCCTGCTGGTCGCTGGACCCTGTCCCTTCAAGTTCTGGTCCTCTCGTTACCACTGGTGACTATGTTTCAGTATCGAGAGCCCTGAACTCTGTCTGCACCTGCATCCTTGTCCCTGCCGCCTTCAAATCATCCTGGTCCCACTCCGACAGCCATCCTGTGTGCACAAGGCCCATGGCTGGCCGTGACCCCCCCACTGTTAGTCAATTCCCACCCTCTCTGGGTGCTTTGTAAGTTATAAGCTTCCTCCAAGGGGAGTCAAAAGCATTTGGGTCCCTAACAGGCTGACCTTTCTTCCGGATGAAATGAACAAGGAAGCTGGTGAACCTCAGCGCTGTGGATTTCTGTTCCTGCAAAGTTTCTAAAACATGATCTAACTTTTGACCTCAACAAGTTGGTAACTGTTCCTATAAGCCACAGTTTCTCTGGCAGATTTAGAGGCGAAAGTTTAAAGATGAAAGGGGGAGGGGTCAAGTTCTGAGTATTAAATGAACAATCCTCTGATTGACTCCAACTCCGGGCAACAGGCTTTTCATGCTAACAAAGCTTGGATGGAGGAAAAGGTCGGAAAGTTTTGGCAGCCCAGGCCATTTTGCCAACGACACATGCTGACAGAACTGGGCTATCAACAATGGTAGAACCATTATCTGAATAAAACCAAGTCCTTGAGGCAGCACAGGATTGAGGAATTTCACAGAATAGTGGTTTGAGCCCTGGAGAAACCAGAGTGTAAGCAGGATTTTACTTGCAGGAGACATCCTGGAGCAAGCAGTCCACTGATTGTCACGGACCTTCTAACGAAGTGAGAAAATCAGATCCCATTAGGAACCAACATCTGGACTGAAGGATGATGAGTGAAAACCCACTGGTGTGTCAACACAGCAGACATCACCCCGCCTGTGCAACAAACCTCCATCTGGTCTCAGATGTTGGTGCAGACCTTTCTGGCTGCACCTCGTATGGAAAACCACATCACATGCCATTTGTTCTCGTCGTGTCCACTGTGTGAGGTTTCCTGGCCCTTAAGGAATAGACGGTTTGACTCTAAAGGAACACATACCTAGGTTAGCGATTTTTGACAAACCACTAGTTTGAAAATCTGTTTTTTTTTTCTCACTACAGTTGAATCCAAGAGAAAATGACCATTTTTTTTTCCTAAATGTAGAGTCCAACAGGGACCTAGGATTGCAGGTATGCAATGAAGAAAACATATCAGAGAGCAAATAAACTACAGGAGATATTTATCCATAGTTATAAACTTAAAACATGGGGAAGAAAATCCAAGTAGGAAAGAAAGAAAAGGAAAATGATACAGAAATGGTCTATTAAAGTCCTTTTCATAAGAGCTTTAAGATCTGAAAAATAATCCAGCAGATCAAAAAAACTGCAACAGCATCAAAATTAAGCAATCCTTCTGATTCACGTGATCGGAACAAGTTTCCGCTCGTAAGAAAACACCAAGTTTTCCCTCACAGGCCCAATCATAAGCCTGAGTGGGAATCTGGGTTTTAACTGCATGTGTCAGATGTGGAGCGCCTGCCACCTATTCCTCTGTGGGGGCACGAGGGCTCCAGGATGTCACCCTCCAGTTCCCGCTGGTGGGGACCCGACACTCACGCCGAGGACTTTGACTATCGGCACCACCTACTTGATACACTGGGATCCAACAATCCTACCAGAACCACTGATCAGCTCTGCGCGTGAGGGCAAGGAAGTGGCCACAGAATACCGTTCAGAGGCGCAAAAAAATCAATCTGCACAACTATAGGGTGACTGAGCCCATTTGGGTTAAAAGCATTTTAAAAAGCCATTGAGTATGTATTTGGGGTGTGTAGGTATGTTTGTCCATGCTGAGACAGACAAACATCACCCCTGAGGAACGGAGCTGGAAGCACACAGGTCCACTTTTTACTACCTACCTGTCTCTAGGGCTAACTTAGTTCGATTTTTTTTTTGTAAACAATGAGCACAAATTTCCTTTGTAATTAAGCATAGTTTCTCTAGGGCAATTGCGCTGTACTTTAGAGTTGACAGAATGTCCTACAGACATCCATCCCCTCCCGGCCGATCCAAGAGCTCACCTCTGCACTCCACGCTGGGGTCTCCCCAGAAGAGCTCCTGGCACTCGCTGCAGGTGCGGCCTCCGAAGCCAGGCATGCACTGGCACTGCCCCGTGAACTGCGGCCAGAAGACACACCTCGGTCAAACCAGTTGCCGGGCAGAGGCCAGGCTCCTTTCCCTTTTTCAGCTGCCAGTTAGGGCAAGTGGGATTGAACTGTGGGCCTAAGAAAGCCTCACAGCTTGACCAGCGAAAGGGAATCCTGCTCCCGTCCTGGGTGCTCAGGGCCCCATGCCGGCATCTCCTCACTGTTCTCCTGCACCTGGGACTGGAGGGCCCGGAGCACGGTCCACTTAATTCGCATGTTCCCTCATGCCGCACGGATGAGTTTGGACCACCTGGGACTCACCTGCAGTGGGGCAGACCTTCAGAATATGTGTGCGTGTGTCAGGAGACAAGAGCACTTTTTATGATGCTGGGTATGGTTACATGGTTCATTTCAGGCTGTGTGGTTAAGAGAAGAAAGCCTGATTCTCATCCATTCTAAGCAAGGCTGCACCTGCGGTGGGGACACCGAGCTGAAGCGCTCTGGGCGCATCTGATGGGGCCCCGGGGCACAGACAGCTTTGTAGTCCTAGCTGAGGGGGGATAAGTGAGGGCAGCTATCCAGTCTGCGCTGGGTTTGCCGAGCTGTGCGCCCTGGTACAAAGCTGTGACCACAAGGAGGGGTGACTTTCTCTAAGTGGGGCCAAGCTGCCAAACAGCTGTCACAGGGACTCAAAGTTATCTTTCCTTCTGCCAGGAGGGCCTCCCACTAGCCCCCTTCCCCCTCAACCTGGAGCCACAGCACCTCACCTCGTTACAAGACGGCCCGAAGGAATGGGCGGCGTCACAGTTGCACGGGTCACACCCTGTCCCGCTGGCCAGCTGCCAGGTGTTGGGTGCGCAGCGGTCACAGTTCTGGCCGATCACGTGAGGGAGACACGAGCACTGCCCGGTGGCTGTGTCACACTGGCAGTCAGAGCCGTTACAGTGCTCCTGCACTGTGCCCAGGTAATTACAGACGCACTCTACAAACAAACCACATGGCCAGGCTGACTTACGGAGTCACGCTGAGAAAATGCCCGGACAACGCAGAAGTTAGCTACATCAACCGACCGCAATCTTCCCTCCCCAGATTTCGACCTGGAAATGCAAACAAGTAGGGAAAGGAACAGAAGGGATGGGAAGGAAAAATCTAAAACCGTGGTTCTTCATCTTCTTCTATGGTGTTCTAGAGAGTTCTGGTATTTCTCAGGCAGACAGGCACCATGACACATTCTGCCCAACAGTGTTTCAAAATACATGATTTAATAAGCTGCCGGTGAATTATTTTAAAATTGAGGATTTAACTGGAAATGAAGACTATGCTGTGGGAGTGGAGATACCTAATTCTGAACTCTTGGCAGGGAGCAGCAGTGATGGATGTGTGAAACGTAGCAGGTAAAGCCCTTTAAAGCTAGGTAGGATTTTTTAAAAAAATATATATTTTTTAATGGAGGTACTGGGGATTGAACCCAGGACTTCATGCATGCTAACCATGCACTCTACCACTTGAGCTCTACCCTCCCCTATAAGCCAGGAAGGCTTTAAGAAATCCAATCCTACTAGTCCTCAACATTCCACACCTGTTTGTATAAAGACAGGGCCTGGGGGCCAGGAAATGCTGGCTGGTCTCTCCATGAGAGAAACACTGAAAGACAGACTTCAGAGATGTCACTTCCTTCTCTCCCTTAAGTAGGAAGGCTCTATCCATCAGTGATGTAAGAAAAGGTGTGGACCAAAGCGGGTATCTAGGATGCAGAAGTCCCAGGCAATCAGCAAGTTCACGGGCAGAACATCAGATCAATACACTCTACTGGGTGCCATTGATCACCGTGACAGCTACTCAGCTTTTCCTTTTAGTTCCCTTCAGGGCTGTGGGCGCAGCTCAACACTTCAGCCCTGCCAGGCAACGAGGACGTAAAAACCAAAACAAAGCAACACAGCCTCATCTTTCCTTTGTCGAGAGTGAAATTTTCCCTCTCTGAACAAGCGATGAAACAAACACCCAAATTAACCCCCCCCCGCCCCCCGGCGAGGAGGAGGAGGGTGGAAGCCACTCCAGTGAGCGGCGGGAGGAGGGGCATCTTACTGCGGCAGTCCTGCCGGAGGGCGTCCCCGTAGTACCCGCGGCGGCACAGCTGGCAGCGCTCGCCTTCCGTGTGGTACAGGCACTTCCGGCACCGCCCCGTCTCCTTGTCGCAGGCTTCCGGGTCCGCGGTGTCAATGTTGTGGTGGCACTCGCAAGGCTGACATGTGCCCCCCATGTCCGAGGGGTTCCCGAAGAAGCCCGCGGCACAGTCGTCGCATCTGGAGCCTGTCGTCCAATAAGACCAGCTTGGTGCCTCCGGCGCCCCCGGAGGGGAGGGGAGGGGGTCCCGCCACCCCCGACACACACACACACCCGCCCAC